AAAATAGTCTTCTCAAACACTACAAATAGATTCTTCTCAAACACTACAAATAGAGTCTTCTCAAACACTACAAATAGTCTTCTCAAACACTACAAATAGAGTCTGCTCAAACACTACAAATAGAGTCTTCTCAAACACTACAAATAGAGTCTTCTCAAACACTACAAATAAGTCTGCTCAAACACTACAAATAAGTCTTCTCAAACACTACAAATAGAGTCTGCTCAAACACTACAAATAGAGTCTTCTCAAACACTACAAATAGAGTCTGCTCAAACACTACAAATAGTCTTCTCAAACACTACAAATAGAGTCTGCTCAAACACTACAAATAGAGTCTGCTCAAACACTACAAATGGTCTGCTCAAACACTACAAATAGTCTGCTACAAACACTACAATAGTCTGCTCAAACACTACAAATGGTCTGCTCAAACACTACAAATAAGTCTTCTCAAACACTACAAATAGAGTCTTCTCAAACACTACAAATAGAGTCTGCTCAAACACTACAAATAGAGTCTGCTCAAACACTACAAATAGAGTCTTCTCAAACACTACAAATAGAGTCTTCTCAAACACTACAAATAGAGTCTTCTCAAACACTAGAAATAGAGTCTTCTCAAACACTACAAATAGAGTCTTCTCAAACACTACAAATAGAGTCTTCTCAAACACTACAAATAGAGTCTTCTCAAACACTACAAATAGTCTTCTCAAACACTACAAATAGAGTCTGCTCAAACACTACAAATAGTCTTCTCAAACACTACAAATAGTCTGCTCAAACACTACAAATAAAGTCTTCTCAAACACTACAAATAGAGTCTTCTCAAACACTACAAATAAGTCTTCTCAAACACTACAAATAGAGTCTCTCAACACTACAAATAAAGTCTTCTCAAACACTACAAATAGAGTCTTCTCAAACACTACAAATAAAGTCTTCTCAAACACTACAAATAGTCTTCTCAAACACTTAAATAAGTCACGTAACCACATCTCTTTAAATGCAACAAAAGACATAATACTTTCAGCTCAGTTCATTCAAACAACGTTGTCGTCTTTGAGTGACATCAGCTAAGGTATATTAGATATTCACTTCCCTTTCAGAATAATCCGTTTATATTCATATGTCCAGGACAGGTTTATATTGCTTTCTGTTCTGACTCTAGTCTATAACATGTCAGAAAATAACAACAAATATTCCAATATTCTCTGACAGACAGTCGAGAGATTTTCACCAGACAAGGAAGGTGGTGAAAATAAATAAAACCTTTCTTGCACTTTTGGTCCACCGAGACCCTTTCCCCTCAAGCAGATTCTTCTACCTTTCGTCCTGCTCTACTATTATATGCTGTTTTAAAGCCCAGCACCTTTTAAAAGTTTAATGATTTCTATCATGTTGCTTTGCTCAGCATCAATGCACACAATATTCCTTCCAGTGAAAATAATCAGATCATGAGAATGGCTCTATTGAGAGAGATAACACATACTTTAAAAATGACACTTTCATTTCTTATTCATTCTTATTTGGACCTTTTGTTTGTAGTTTCAGGCAGAACTGAGGCCAGACTGGAGGCAGTACGTGATGCCTTCAGGCATGCTTGGAAAGGCTACAAGGACTACGCCTGGGGTCACGATGAGCTCAAGCCCATCTCCAGGACTTTTGGGGAGTGGTTCGGACTGGGTTTGACAATCATCGATTCTTTGGACACCATGTGGATTCTGGGCCTCAGAGAAGGTACTGTATGTCAGTTCTTCCCTCTGCCTCAGGGCTGGCTATCATTCTAAATGTTTCAATACAATTCAAAGTAGGATGCTGATCTGGAGATATGATAGAGATCAGTGCTTCTCAAACTTTTTTCAGCAATGTACCCCCTTTGAAACATTTTCTCAGCCAAGTACCCCCTGATCGACAAGAACATTTTTGATCGAAAAAGCCTATATAAATAATTACAATATAGTGATGTTCCCTCAGTGTGTGATTTATTAACTCTTTCGTGCATGCCTTACAACAAACTAAGGATATTTTCATCTTCATGCATGAAAAAAAAAGGCATAGATTTTTCCAAGGAGTTTTTCAATTTAAGAAATATATTTAACAAAATGATATATTGTGAAAAACTATAAAATACAATACACACATTTGACATGTTTATATGAGGACCCCCTTGGTGGTTCTCGGAATATTTTATATACAATTGTGTTTTCTATTTAACTTATTGTACTAAGATTATTTTTTTAGTCATGAATGGTATTTTTTTAATTAACCTTTTTTTTTTTTTAATCTCTCGTACCCCCTGCAGTACCCCAACGTACCCCCAGGGGTCTGCGTACCCCCATTTGAGAATAACTGATATAGAGCATTCTCATTTGTTTGTAGCTTTGCATTTGGTCCTGTAAAAAGGACTTTACACATCAAAGTATTTATTTTAGATGTTAGCGAGTACTACTTAAATTAAACGTTAAAGTGTTGAGTCTTCACAGGGAGATGTGTGAACTCTTTTGAAGTGAAGCTGAAGACAAGTTTTAAAGTAAACAAATATGGGTGTCTTGTTGAAAAGGAACAGATCTTACCAGATCTCAAAAGCCTGCTCATGATGCTTGCTTGAGGCTAGCTGCTCAAAGTCACATTAGCAGACACGTTGCATTGTGGGTAAAGTAGGCACCATCGTTTTTAACCTTTTTTCGTTGATATCCCAAATGAGTCTGACAATGTTAAAGGATTTAAACGTAAGTATTTAAGTATCTGACAAATCCTAGCTTGGAGGCTTTTGCTGGTGTTGTTAGAAAACCTCACTTTTGGCACATCTTTTAGTAGAACATCTTTGATCCTCCGTGTTAACTTGATGACCAATGTAATAGTTGTTTTCCTCTCTCTGTGATTCCCACTCTTATACTCTGACTCACTCCACATAGAGTTTGCAGAAGCGAGGGACTGGATAGAGAAAGAGCTCTCCTTCGACAAGAACGTGGACGTGAATCTTTTTGAGACGACCATCCGGGTCCTTGGGGGCCTGCTGAGCACCTACAATCTGACAGGAGACCAGCTCTTCCTCGACAAAGCTGTGAGTCCATCCACACAGTCATCTTCTGTTGTCTAGTGGTTTTTGAACAGTAGTCTGGGGCTGTTTTATAAGACATTTTTCTTCAAACTCATTAAAATGCTGCCCACGTAGCGTCGTTGAAACTGCTCTATAGGTTCACTACGCCTCCTCCCCCTCAATTCAGTTGCAATTTAAGAAGACGTCAGATTTACTGATGTGTGAATGTTGTGTTAAGCTGTAGCATTTTCAAAATAAAGGTGGTTAACTCAGTTACTCTGTTAACACAGAAAATGTCATTTCTAATCTATTTCTGTTTCTTCTCTCCATTTTAAAGAAAGACATCGGGGCGAGATTGATGCCTGCCTTCAAAACCCCCTCAAAGATCCCGTTCTCAGACGTGAACATCGGGAAGGGGACAGCCCACCCACCCCGATGGACGTCAGACAGCACGCTGGCCGAGGTCACCAGCATTCAGCTGGAGTTCAGAGAGCTGAGCCGCCTCACACAGGACCCTCAGTACCAGGTCAGAATACCAAGTTGTGTTCATAACTTTGATTTGGCCTTGCTCACAGTTTTTGAGATTGAGTGAAACAAAGATTGGGGCAGTTTATAAAGATATTTGACAGAGGGTTTCAGTCAAGATATTAAGTATAGCTTGCAAACATTTGAGTTCATGAGTTTTTCAGAAACCAGAGCTAACCCCCGAAGATTTGAGTCTCAATCTGATATTCATTTGTGTATTTTCTGGCATTACCATAGCCAGCCATGTGAAACATCACTTCTGATGAGCCTCGTCGAATTCAGCTCTCGAATTGGGAAATTGCTTAAAATGTCCCAATGAAAAATGGCTTAAAACTGTAATTTGTAGATGCATTGGCTCACACTCCAGCAGTTAGTTAAATTAGGACTGTTCCCTCATTATGTCTTGTCTTTCACTCTGGCAGGAGGTTGTGAATGAGGTGATGAAGCTGGTCCACAAGCTGCCAGGCAAACACGACGGCCTGGTTCCCATGTTCATCAACACCAACAGTGGCCAGTTCACCCACAAAGGGGTCTTCACTCTGGGGGCCAGGGCAGACAGCTACTATGAATACCTGCTCAAACAGTGGATCCAGGGAGGCAAGATGGAAGACGAGTAAATGAATCTTTTTTACATTTCTGAGAACATGTTGTGTGATTGTGAGAAAACACTGCATTTTATGATGGAATAACAGAGATCAACATTCAGAGCACTGTAAATAGTTAGAATGTACTGTATGTTGCAGGGTTTCCCCACACATAGACTTTACTTGGGCGGGCAGGCCAGGTATATTAACGGTCGCCAAAGTATATTTTGCGACCCATTTTTAGGTTTTTGGTTTTTTATCCGTCCGCGAGCACGACGCCATCTGCGATCGTTTAACTAGTGGACAATGATCCCTCGCTCTACGCCTCCTGTACCTATCGCGGGAAGGGTCTGCTAACAAGCGACCAACAAAAAGGTTCATGTTAATGTTCAAGGTTCAAGGTTCTTTATTCTCAAACTAACATAGCTACAGAGTAATTATGTCGTTGAAAATCTTAGGCCACACGCTTCTAACACAATAATACAGGTAAGCAGACAATATTAAAACAATATTAAAATATACTATATTAAAAGTAATACAAAAAGAAAATAATACTGCACTACAAATAGACCCCCCGTTCCCCCGTCCCCCCGCCCGCCACAAGTATATTTCAGATCTGTGGGAAACACTGATGTTGTGCATACTGACGGGATGTGCTGCATTGCAGACCTTTGAGCTTTTGTTATGTAGAGTTTTTTCTCTCTCCTGCATTGTTATATATGTTACAATATATTCTTCTTTTTAAGATACTAACTTAAGTATATTTTGAAAACTCCCAAACTAAAAGACTACTTACTGAATACCATGTCTCATATAATACTGACTAAAATGAACATCTCTCACATTTCCTGTTGTTGTCTTATTTCCCAGCCTGCTGGAGGACTACCTTCAGGCCGTGGAGGGAGTGAAGAAACACCTTGTGAGACAGACGGGGTCCGGCAGACTGACTTTTGTTGGAGAGTTGTCCCATACCCGCTTCAACCCTAAAATGGTAAAGATACTCTCAGTCAGTTTGCAACACATACAAGCCCTTCAAGGGACAGTTAGGACTTTTAAGACACTTTTCCACAAACCTACAGTTTGGACCAGCAAGGAAACTAAGCAATGTACTGCAGTGAAACATGGGAGAAGCTGGTCTTCCAATGCTTTCATCGCTGAGTTAGTTGGTGTTTCTGGGGTGGTTTTTTTGGCTTTTCTTTTATTAGATAGACAGGTTATATTCAGGCTTGTGGGAAACGGTATTTTGATCTCTCTGTACACACAAACTGAAAGATTGACAATAAAGTTGACTTTGACTTTAATAGACATGAAAATGAGAGAGAGAAAATGACCAGATGAGCTACTAAAAAAAAAAAGAAAAAAAAAAAAGAAACTTACAGTAACCCTAACCCTTCTGGATGTACCACGAGCAGCTCAAGGATTGTCTTAGGGTAATTCTCACTCTGCCGAAAGTCAATGAACTCGCATCACAGACATTCACCGCCTTGTTCAATCAGCCTTTGTGCTGTAGTCAAATCTTGAGCTCTACAAACTCAGTCTTTCTCTCCACATAAATCAATTCCATCCCTCAATATCCTGGCCCTTCCTGATGGACCCCTTTATCTTGTCACTGCAGGACCACCTCGTGTGCTTCCTGCCAGGCACCTTAGCACTGGGGGCCCACAACGGGCTCCCGGGGGACCACATGGACCTGGCTGTGCAGCTGATGGAGACGTGTCATCAGATGTACAAACAGATGGAGACTGGGCTGAGTCCAGAGATCGCTCACTTCAACCTGCAGGCCTCCGATGGCCTGGATATCTTCGTCAAGGTGAAGCGCAGGGACATAAAAACAGAGGACCATTCATGGGGGAAACTCATTTTGAATTCAAATGAACATGCTTTTAGAGCATTGCCTTTTTGTAAGTGTCTCTACATTGATGCTCTGCCTAAACTACAGTAGCTAAAAGGAGTAAGAGGGAATATGAATGTGTCCTGGGAGCTGTGATTATAACCTTTCAAAATGTCTTCCGTGCTCATGTTCTTGTTCATTACTGCTCCAGTTTTATCAAAGCATTTATTACTATTGTACTTTTCTCCTCTGCTGCCTTCATTAACCTCACATATAAGTAGAACTTCAAAACTTAGTAAATGAATATCATATTATTTAGACTTATATCTAGTCATTTTAAACAGCTCCATGTAACCAAACACATTCTTCTGCCCCATGAAAGCATATCTTTGAGTGTTTGGTTTTCAATGCACGGATGATTTACATTTAGAGTTGATTATAGACCTTTTTATTCACGTCACGGTAAGGTAAAACAAAATAAGAGAAAAATAAGGATGCTCAATCCTCAGTAAAAGCACAGTAAGGACAATCCTCATTCATTAAAAAGAAGATGGATGTCTCTCCAGAGACTCTGGGCCGGTCTGATTGGTTGCTTTGGATTCTTTTTTTTTAAGCTCATTCATTATTTATTGTCTTTCTATGTGTTCAGTTTTAATTACTTGAAACATCAGTTGACAAATCCGCAGTGTTTCTACTAAAAATCTAGGATAAGGAATCTCTTTCTAGTTTCTTTTTTGGAGTTCGTAAAATCACATCTAGCCCCCGGATGTTTTATTTAATTGTTCTATTTGTTTTATTCTTTGTGCTGGCTAATCTAATGTCTTTACCCTCAAGAAAGCATAGGAATATGTGTAACTGCAACAAAGATATATCCACTCCTTGTTCATTCCTAACCCTTCTATAAAGATTTGAAATGAGAGTAAAAATCTGCACATTGTCCTACAATATATAACAATGTATATGATATGTTACAATAGAAAGAGTGGTGTGTATTCATAACACATTGTCCTCATCCTCCAGCCTGCAGACAGACACAACCTGCTGAGACCAGAAACAGTGGAGAGTCTGTTCTACATGTACCGGTTCACCAAGGACACCAAGTACAGAGACTGGGGATGGAACATACTGGAAAGCTTCAACAACCACACTAAGGTACAAACCATCTGACCACAGACCAGTTATTGAATATCTGAGTCAGCTAAAGCTCTGTGATGTGTAGAACTCTTGTTTACTTTGTTTGCAACAAATAGAAGGAAGTTCATGTTTTGTAATGTTTTTTTTAACTGTATTTACACAATTGAATTCACAACAGGGGGTAAAAATGGCACACTTAAAAAACCATTTGTTTTTAATTACATCACAGCTCTGGTGATCATCTCTTTTGATACAGCCTTTTACTGCGATATAATAGTTTGTATGCATTATCTCCCTAAACCATCACTTCCTGCTCTCCAGGTCCCCGGTGGTGGCTACACGTCCATCAACAACGTACGTGACATCGAGAACCCCGCGCCCCGAGACAAGATGGAGAGCTTCTTCCTGGGTGAGACCCTGAAGTACTTCTATCTGCTCTTCTCTGACGACATGGAGCTTCTCAATCTGGACAAGTATGTCTTTAACACGGAGGCCCACGCTTTCCCCATCTGGCCCTCCCCCCCCAAGTGATGTCATCGTACAGGAGCAGTCTGTAGACATCAGGTAAAAAGAATCCTGTAGGCGTCACTGCTGATTGGTCAGGGCTGGACTGTAGTGCTGAGCAGACCTGCGTCCACCTGCACTAAAACATGTGGAGGAGATACTGAGTTTTATTTTCCTTATTTCTTAACTTTTCCTAAGGAAAATGTCTGTGAGCTGGTCTCTAATGTAAAGCGTTTTGTTTTTGTATCTGCTCCGACCTACTGGCTCCAACAGGTCATGGGCAAGAAGATGATGGGGAGCTTTCCTACTGGGGTGACTGGGACCGTTCTGTATGTGTATACACTGTATATGTGGGTTGTAAAACCACCGCCTCATCCCTGTCTTTTTGTTAGTCCTACCGTCAGACATGGTGGCTGTGAAGGAATTCACAAATGACTTAAGGTGCAGTAACCAATAATGGAAATCTGTGGAGTATGTTTGCTAAAATTATGTTTAAATGGATTCCTCTCGGAAAGGAGTAGCAGATCATTTCTAAAGGTCTTTACTTTGGCAACACCGAGTGCACTTGCTTATTGCAAAAATTACATAAAATGAGTTTTACATTGTAATACTTTGAGACGTATGTCCCCTTTGTCTTGCCGTCCTGAGTGTCTATGAGCAGCTACAGCGCAGTGTCCGCGGGCCAATATACGTTCTGAGAGCAAAGGCAGCACTGTGTTCCTAATGCCCGACATGCACACTTTCCTTTATTAAAGACGTTATGAAGCATTGCTAACTTGCTATAAATCAGTCCATCCAATTATTGTAAAACAACACTTTTGTTGTTTGGGTATGAATGTTATTCAAACCTGTCTTTTTTTTGATGGTTTTCTGATTCTTTTAGCTTTCAGTTTTTTCGGTTTTTCAGGCTTTCTATGTAGTGCATTGCACTCATTAATTAGTTAAAGGCACTCTTAGGTATTTTTCCACCTATTCCCTATTTTCATGCTTTAGTGTCCAAGTGACTGATGCGGAAAAAAACCTTTCTGAAATTGGTCTAGTATAGAGAGAGAGAGAGAGAGAGAGAGAGAGAGAGAGAGAGAGCGCTACCTTACACAAACAAGTGCTTTCAGTGGACCAATAGGATCACAGTGCAGCATCTCGCTTAATACTGGACCAATTTAAAACATCCTACTGCACAGTCACACTTCCTTGTGTTTTTTAAATGCAAAGTTGGTTAATTACTGATGTTTTATTTTGTGTGTCAGTGACAGAGAAGTCAATGTGTTTAAGGACCTAAAGGTGTGATGCTGAAAGTATCCTGAACAGAGGTCCATTGAAATAATGATTCTGAATTGGAATTCTACACATAATGACATGTTGTTTTATTAATGAATGTATGCATTGTTATTTAAGTGTTACATTTGTTCATAGGTAAATGAAACTCTAGCTCTACAGATATGGGCTGCGTCCTGGTTTTGAATACTTCATTATTCACACTTATATGAAGGGGGATACATGAAAGCTTCCATACAGTCTTACATTTGCAGTTTTTTATGAAGTTACAGTATATGGGAGAAACCGACTTACATAAACATTTCCTGTGTCAGGGACATTATGTCCACAGCCCTTCACACAAATGACTTGTTTAAGAAATGAAGTGTTTCGAATTGTTTTCTTCATACTTCAAGGAGTTTGATTCACGCTGTGTAGCAACCCCTGACTTCCGTCAAATGTGATGTAAGAGCAGCGCTTGTTTTCTATTCTGTGACATTGAAAATCAATTTGAAGGACATAACAGGTGAACTGTAGGAGCTGCTTTGAAGATGGCTCAACCCACACCATTGAAAGGGTCTTTGTCTCTGAAACTTTTTCTGTGGTTTCAAATGGTGAAGAAGACGTCCGTCCATGGAGCTCCTTCTGTCCGACAGACAGCCATACCCACAACATTGAATGTGCACTCCATTTGCCAACGCTCTACTGTGCCTATTTCAATGTGTATTGTGCTACAGTGGTGTGTCCTTTTCTTGCTGCTGTATCAGTGGAGTGAATTTGTGAAGTGCCATGGGTGCTCCTGGTTTGTGTTTTTCATTTGAATGGGTGGTCGACTAAACATTATGGCTGTAAATACTTTCTGTTGTTTCTAACGTGTGAACTGAATCCAACCTTGTCATTTTATGTCCTCATGTCAAAACAATCTGTAAGTTGTTTTTTCTTTCTGCGCTTTTTGTTTAATGAGGGTTAACTATATGGCGAGAGACTGTCTGATCTTTGAAGTATTTGTTTTTCTTATTTGTTGCTCGCCAGGGAAAAGGGTAAATACTATTTTGGAAATGTGTATACTTTTAAAAATCTTACTTGATGTGAGAAGAACATCTCTACTACAAATATTAGAAGAGTATACCATGGTTTAATAAACCAATGTTATTGAGAGATTTACTATTATTACATGCATTAATGTGTTTTCTATTCACCCTGAGTGTGACCACTTTCAAACCAGACCGAACCGGATAGGACGAGTTACGGTGCTGTAACTGTCATGAGGCCCTGTAACTGTCATGAGGCCCTGTAACTGTCATGAGGCCCTGTAACTGTCATGATGAGGCCCTGTAACTGTCATGATGAGGCCCTGTAACTGTCATGATGAGGCCCTGTAACTGTCATGATGAGGCCCTGTGACTGTCATGAGGCCCTGTGACTCTCATGATGAGGCCCTGTAACTGTCATGATGAGGCCCTGT